TCCTTCTTGGACTCCGGCAGTTCAGTCACCCTCGTGCAACCGTCCCTGGTACGACCCAGGCCCGAGCAGAAATCCCAGTTGCCGCTGACGTGTGTGCACGGAGACACCCGCTATGTACCGGCCCGTACAGTGCGGATTTCAGCGGAGCCCGGGACCTGGGCCATCGAGGTGGGCATTGTGCCGGATCTCCCCGTACCTCTGCTCCTGGGACGGGACTGGCCGGGGTTCCAGAAGCTCCTCCTCGGACCCAAGATGCCAGGCCGTACCGCCCGGAACGGGCCATGGCGACCCCGTTGGGGACCGCCCAGCCCAAGGCCGGTATACCTAGCGACGGACAGCGAGAGGGAGGGTGAGTGTCAGCCCGCTAATCTACCGTCTGTCTACCTTGATGTGTTTTCCCAGGTCATGACCGGGAGCTCGTCCAGTACCGAGTCTGTGTTCTCATTCACCCCGCGACAATATATACATTAGCATTATACAGTGCCTTATGTTAAACTGCTTTAAATCACTTTTTTTCCACATCAATCTGCACTCCATACACGGTAAAGCAAAAAACAGGTTTTTAACATCATTAAAAATAAATAACTTAAATGATTCCATTGCATAAGTATTCCTACCCTTTTCTTGGACAGTTGAAATTTAGGTCAGGAGCATTCATATTGCTTGTAGATGTTATTACACTTAACCTGTGAAGTTAACCTGTGGAAAATTCCCTTGAATGGGTATGATTTGGAAAGGCACACGCATCTTAATAAAAGGTCTAACAGCTGATAATGCATATCAGAGCAAAAACCAACCAGTGTGGTGACCAAGAACCTGATGGTCACTCTAGTTGAGCTCCATGATCATATGTGGAGACAGGAGAAACCTACAGAAGGACAAACATCACTGCAACACTCCACCGATTTGGGCTTTATGGCCATGTGGCAAGACTCGATCCTCTCTTCAGTTAAGACACATGAAAACACACTTGGCATTTGCAAAAAAAGCACCTAAAGGACCCTCAGACTCTGAGAAACAAGATTCTCTGGTCTGATGAACCTCAATTCTAAGCATCATGTTGGAAGGAAACCAGCTCTGCTCATGACCTGCAGAGTACCATCCCAAAAGTAAAGTGTGCTGGTAGCAGCCTTATGCTGTGGGACTGTTTTTCAGTGGCAGGGACTGAGGGACTCGTCAGAGTAGAAGAAAAGCTCAATGCACCAAAATATGCCACAGCCTGAGCTTGAACCCAATCAAATATTTCTGGAGAAACCTGAAAATGTGCACCTGCCACCAACCAACCTGACAGAGCTTGAGAGGTGAAGAGGTGAGGAGAAGAATTGCAGATAATTGCCAAATGCTGATGAGCAAGGCCGAGATCCAACTACGAGCTTTTTAACTGCAGCAACTTTAATATACGCTATTGGAGCTGGAATTACCGCGGCTGCTGGCACCAGACTTGCCCTCCAATGGGTCCTCGCCCAT